TCAAGAATGAGGGGGACACTCTCTGTGTCCCCTTAATTTCCCATCTTTCTTTCTGTCTTGTCTTACTCTGAAGTTAAAACCCTCTCCCACCCTCTCATGTCCATGAAGATGCCCATTTGTGGGCAGAACACTGACTACCCCAAGCCAGGGACCTTTGAGTTCAGCTTAGTAAGGCAAACCTATGATTTGTATACAATTTAATACTTTTTGGTATACTTTTAGTGGATTAATTGTACACTATGTGGATTCTTTTTCCATAGAAATGTTAAAAAATAAAGTGATAGTTTTTATAATATTTTTAGCTCTAACATTCAAGTCTGCTGCCTAATTTCTGGACATTTAGTTCATGTTGTAGAGACTATTGATACAAATATTGATACTATTGGGTTCGCCTTACTACCCTCTTTACCAGCCTAGCCTGAACATTTATATTGGGCCTCGGTACCATGACTTCTGGTTTTCCCTACCATGCCTCTTGAATACCAGCAAGAATACTAAGCTGAACGCAATGGTCCCTGATTTCAAGTAGCCAGTGTTCCTCCCACAGATAGGCGTCTTCACTACGAAGGCCAGGCTGGCCTCTCCCTCCCAAGTGCTGGGATTAAAGGCATGTACCACTAAGCCCACCTTAACGTTGTTCTTCTAAATGGTCATGTTGTCAAACTACCTTCTAAAGATGCATGTTTGTATCCATAGATTGGTGCTGCTTCCAACCTTGGTCAGAGAAGTAGTGGTTAATGCAGAGACCCATTCCTGTGTAAAGTGCTGGTAATAAATGACTATGAGTGCGTAGCTGTAGGTGGGACGTCTATAGTAACCCCCTTTCCTACCCCAAGGCTCAGAGAACATTGGAGAGGAGGAGGCAGAGAGAATGGAAGAGCTGGAGGACTTGAGGCGTGCTGGGAAAGGCTTTCCCCTGGACCTGGTGTAGCTGTTGCACACAGGAACTCAAAGGTGTATCATTTACTCCCACAAGATTTGCTTATGATCTAGTTGTTAACATTCAGGCATTACACTTGCCGGTCCTTGGGGACCTGGCAGGCTGCGTCACCCCTGTGGCGCATGCGCTGGCCAGTGCGCAGGCAATACTTTGGCCTGTTCTGGGTCCTGACAATGTCATGCGCTCATTGCTACATGGTCTCTGTGCACATGCGCTGTGTCCCCTCATATAAGGTGGACTGCCCACCTTCCCTCTCCCCAGCCCCTGACGGCTTTCTCTCTCTCTTTCCCACCCTCTTTCCCTCTTCCACTACCTCTTATCTCCAAAGGCCGCTCTGCACCCCCTTTCTCCCCCCCCCACCCCGTCTTCTCCCCCACTCTTCCAATAAACCTCCAGGTGAGCCCTGTCGCATGGTGTATCTGTCTGCCCCAGTCCGCCGTTTTTAAATTACGACATTGGTGTCGTGACTCGGATTCCAACCAAGGTTGCTGTGGCCACAATGCAGAGTACTAACCACTCTAGGATCAGGGCAATTTATAACACAAGTCAGTTAAAAATTCCAGCGTGGAGGGAGAAGGACCTTCTGAGGTCCCACTCTTACTGGCAATTGAGAGAGGGGAAGTAATTTGGCTTTAGGAACGTGCCCACTGGTGAGTTCTCCATAACCCAGTGGATTACCTCGTGTCCACGGGCATATGGGTAGCACTGACTGGACCCAGTGAGTTAAAATAATTGTCAAAGGATGACATAACGTTGGGAAGATGTGATAGGCGTATCCTGGGGGAATTGGAGGTGGGAGTGAGGGATATGTTTTATACATGTGTGAACATTTCTGAGAATAAACAAAAATTAGTTTAAAAAAAAAAAGAAGAAAGAAAGAAAAGAAAAGAAAAAAAGGGCCAGAGAGCTGATTCAGTGGTTAAGAGCGCTGGCTATTCTTCCAGAGAACCAGTGCTCAATTCAAAGCTCCCACATGGTGGCTCACAGCCATTTGTAACCCCAGTCCCAAGGGTTTTGGTGCCCTCTTTTGGCCTCCTGGGACACTGCATGAACATGGCACACAGATACCCATGCAGGCAAAGCCACAGTCACATAAAAATAGATTAAAAATAAATAAATAAAAATAAGAAAAGAAAACAGTGAATTGCAGATTATTTGAGAGTGGGTGTGGCCTTAGTGAATCCTTGTATAGACCAAGGAGACACCGGCAGGTGGTATTGAGTTGGGCGGTGAAATTGGAGCTGTACTTCTGGGGAGTTCTTCAGAGGGTTTGAAGGGCCAAGCAGATAGTTGTGGAAGATGAGTGAGAGGTCATGGGAACCTCAAGAAAGGAAGAATGGAGGCAAATTGGGGGGGGGGGGAATCATGAAAATTGAGTTGGTAAGTGTATATTGGTTGAAGGTGGTAGGTAGAAGACCCACGTCTAAGAAAATCCAGGATTTAAGAATAGAGATGGCACCAGAGAGAGATTATTAGTGAAGATGCTTTGCTGTTTAGAATTAAGGGTGGGTAGTGGTGGTGGTGGCGGTGGCGGCAGCGGCAGCACATGAATGACTTTAATCCCAGCACTTGGGAGGCAGAGGCAGGCAGATTGCTGTGAGTTCGGGACCAGCCTGGTCTACAGAGTGAGTTCCAGGACAGTTAGGGCTGTTACACAGAGAAACTCTGTCTCAAAAAAAAAAAGAAAGAAAGAAAGAAAGAAAGAAAGAAAGAAAGAAAGAAAGAAAGAAAGAAAGGAAAAAAAGAGAATTAAGGAAGGAAAGAGGGGGTACAGCTGGAGGCCTGGTGAGGTTCACAACTAAGCCTAAGGGGGTTCATTTTGAGTCATGTAGACGTGAATCACGGCCTCATTCTAGCTGTAGGACTCTAACAGGTTATCTAGGTATGAGGAAGTGAAGGTAATAACAGCTCCTTGGAGTTGTTAAGATGAAATGAATTAATGCATAGCCAAGCTTAGCTCAACACGGTAAATTCTCAGTAAACGGCAGTCTGAATGACCCTTAGATTATCTATATAGCCAAGGACTTCCCCAAGCTTCCGCAACCAGGACCAGAGGTGGCTAACAGCCCAAGTGACCTCTATGCTATCTGTATGACAGAGACCAGGCCAGACCCTTCCCTAGGCCCTTAATCTAGTACAAGTAACATATCTCCAGGACCTGTCTTCTTGGAAGAAATGGCACATGCCCTGAGTTGAGTTTTGATGTAATTATGCTTTCTTGTGCACTGGGGATTGCGTTACATCAGGAAACTTTCCCCCCAAATTCTATTGTGTTTAAATATGCTGGCAATAAACTGCCTGGCATCAGACTCTCTAAAGTTGGATGATGTCAAGCTGAACTGAGTTTTCCTTTTCACCTCTTTGTGGTTCATGTCCCTGCCTGCTGTGACACCTGCAGGGACCCCCCCTCAGCTCAGAACGTCTTGTTGTAAGCCTAAAACTCCGGTGGTGGGGAAGAGAGAGTAAGAAGAGGGGAAAAAGAGGACTGAGGAACAGAGGGGCCCAGAACAGGGTATGTGGCCTGGGCGGAACACAGACAGAGTAAGGCCAGAATTGCAGAAATCCATTCCAACAACCAAAAAGCAAATTTAGAAAATATAATTTACTTTCTTATCCTTTTAACAAAGATTCGTGTGTGTGTGTGTGTGTGTGTGTGTGTGTGTGTGTGTGTGTGTGTGTGTGTGAGAACCAGAAGAGGGCATCAGATTTCCCTGAACCTGGAATTACAGACTGTGTGATCTACCCAGTGTAGGTGCTGGGAACTGAACTCCTGTCTTCTGAAAGGGCAGAGAGCGCTCTTACCAACTGAGCCATATCTCTAGTCCCTACTTGCTTTTTAAAGACTTTGTAAGGGACAGGTGCAGATTACGTGCTTTCTAAACTTGCTTTTCTTCTTCATCCTTCTTCTCTCTCTCCTTGGAAATACATCTATGCTTGTCTCCCTTCCCCTCTTCCTTTCTCCCTTCCCTCTCCTTATCAAAACCAACCAACCAACCAATCAACTAGCCAGCCAGCCAGCCAATCAACCAACCAACCAAACAAACAAACAAAAACAAACAGAGTGAGGTAGGCGAGGATAACAGTGAAAACAAAAGAAGAGGCCAAATGCTTAGTAGCTGGAGGTTGATGCAGGACCACACAGGAGCCTGCAAACAGTGTAGAACAAGATACTTCATAACTGTCTGAGACCAACATGGCCAACTGAGACCGCTTAACTTAGCTTTGTTATGATAATACCTCCATATCATTAACCCTGTAAAGTCTCCAGTTCCCATCATGCATCTGATATCTCAACATATCCCAAAGCCCCACATAAGAACAGAAAATGGAACCAAACAATTTGGGACAAACCTGTTTGCCAACTTTGACTCCATAATATCCCCCTGCCCCCCTTTAGAGTTCTCCCCTAAGATGCTATCCTAGACCCCAGGCAGCATGATTCTCTTGAAAAGTCCACACTCCCCCCCCAACCATTATTGTAAATTAATTATACAATGTAGTAGGTGCAACACTTCATCTTGATTGTCTGCTTTTGCCCTGAAATAAAACTTCCTCCCAATTCCTTTGTTTGTTTCTTCTGAATTCTTTCTCTGAAGGTAACAAGAACTTGGAAACATTGGCTAGAGATCTCAATCCGCTCTGTCTCTCTCTGAGACCTCCTGAGCCTTTATCAGCAATAAAACCAACTATAGGATTTCTTACCAACTCATCAACCTACTGTATGTCTTTTTCCATTCTCTGCCCTTTTCTTCCAGTTAGGAATCACAAAAGCCCATAAGGATAACGGGAAAGCAAACCCAAGATCATGGGGGGGGGGGGGAGCAAGAGTAGATTGGCTGGAAGAGAGAAAAGTCTAATAAACTGCATAGGGCAATTATTTCCTGTCACAAGTTTTTTTTTTCCCTCATGTGCAAACCATATTTTAAAAGAAAAAACAATAAAAGAAAACATGGCAGTGGTGAGTTCCCTTGGAAGTGACCCGAATATCTCAAGTGAGTTTCTTCTGTACCCCTTTAGGGCCATCTGACTCCTAAGCCTGGAAGGGGACTCCCAGCCCTACCTGTCTATGCTGATGGCACAGAGGTTCAGGATGCTGGCTGTACACATCATGACATCCAGGGTGACAAAAACATCACAGCAAATGCGGCTGAAATTCCAGACTCCACCTGTCACCTGGGCATTGGAGACAAGAAGGGTGTTAGTGTTTTCCCAGGAAGGGACAATAACCCAGTCAGCTCTCTTGCCTCCCATAAGCTGCTCCTCACGGATGCCAATGCACCTTCTTGGCTCCCCGTGGTGGGTGCCATCAGTACCAGAGGGCTGACAGGCACAGAGGGTGTGCCAGGATGTCTGGGATTGATTGCTAAGGAAGGGACAGAATAGTAGAGTGCTAATGCTAGGAGAGATCTTCAAGATTAATTAGTGAAGGGATTCTCAGAGTGGTTCACAGTGGGATATTCATTAAAGACGTAAATTTCTGAATACCCCATAGATCTAGTGACTCAGAGTCCCAGGATCTGAGCTCATGGACATTCGTCTTAAAATAAGCACACCCCAGTTGTACCAAGGTTTGGCAATCAAACTTGAGGTTCAATCTCAGGGGTGCTCCTTGTAGTTAAGTGGTATGTGCATAGATACATCTTAGCCCATAGATGCACAGCTGTTAGTAAAAAGAGTTTGGGTAGCTGCCCAATGTGTGCCTTGTGCCAAAATTGCCTCTCTGAAGCCCTCTGCCCAGTAGAGAGCTCACCATGTGCTCAGGAAATAAGCTAAGAACACATTTTACATAAAACATGACTCCAAAGCAAAAATCTCTGTGGCTTCAGGTTGTAAAGCTTGGAAACATCATAAGACATCTATGAAAACAAGACTAATTAGTGTGACTGCCTTTGACCACCAATGCTGTGTCCCAAACCTCTAAGAGATGGGAGCAGGCTGGGCCCAGAGGTTCAGAGGAAAGCAGGCATGGCCCTCACCTAGATGAGGCTAGCTGTGACCTGCAGCCTGTGCACAAGAAATCAACCTTCATAGCTCCCTGTGAGGAACACAGAAAGCACCAGGGATTTAGGTGAATTGATTTATATGGGAGCATATTGCTGTTTTATTTTTGCAGGTTTCTATAACCTAGTTAAGTAAGCAAGCTGTATCAGGGACAATGCTACTTTTTGAAAGTCCATACACTGCCACTTCCAGGCTCTGAGGTATGTGGGCTGCCATTCTGGGGGATCACGGCTCGCAATGAGAGTTGGTGTCACTGGCTGTTGATGTGGTTTTAAGTGTCTTTTTGGAGCAGGCTTGGTGTCTATCTAAGAGAAGGAAGGGAAACAGACAGACCCAGCAGATGTTGGGCAATGTTGAGTAAAGGAGGTGCTGTTCTGTCTGGTCCTCATCTGAGACCCTTTTGAGACTTCCTGTGTCAATGCCAGTAAAGTAAGACCTGAAGGGTCCATCCTTCCTCTCCAATAACTTCTCCTGGAGTTCATTTCCCTCTCAGCCTCCCATTTAATCTCTGTATAATCATCTTCAGGTTATTTTGACCAAAGACGCTTTGTTTAAAAGCAAGCATGAAAAGCTAAAGCAAGTGAAATAATCATATTTGTTCACTTGGTTCTGGATTTACTTTCTTTTAGTTAGATCACTCGGCTCTGTATAAATAAAGGCCTAACATCAGTTTATAGGGATGCTGAGAACAGACATCTTAGAAGGGGGGTTTATGGATTCTGATCTACACAGTCATCACACAGTGACTCTAGAGAGTCAGCAGTGATAGATGATTTTGATTACACAGGACAATTGCATGGTATGAAAGCTTCCCCCCCCTCAACTGAATTTTGTGTTCCTAATTTCATTCAACATAGATCTACCATGCAACCAGAGTTTTGATTTGGGGAAAACCTATTTTTTTTTTTCATATAACTGTGAGTGAGTCTGTGTGTTGTGGGAAGTTTAAAGAAGAGAGAATAGTTAGGACTGCAGTCGACCTGAGCGCTTCGTGGTGGCTCATTCATTCATTCTTTCATTCATGTATTTACCAAACAAGTACTTGTGAAGCTGTAATAGTCTACAGAAGGAAGGCACAGTATGTATGTTAACAGACTTTGCAAAATGTATTACAGGGTGAATCCTTGAAGACTTATGTGATAACTGGGGAAAGAAGGCATTCTTTATTATTATTATTATTATCATTATTATTATTACTATCATATGTGAGTATGTGAGCATGATGTACATGGGCATGCGTGCCATGGCATGAGTGTAGAAATCAGAAGAAAACTTAACGGAGTCAGTTTCTCTCCCTTCACTTTTACGTGGGTTCCAGGCATTGAACTTGGGTTGCCAGGCTTATGGGGCAAACCACCTTTACCTAATGAACCATCTCACCATATATACTAATGAGAGATCAGTATGAGTGCCTAGTACAGTTAATACAAACTACCATTTATTGAAAATTTCTCCTACTTGTATCGTCTACCCACATGGCCCATTCCAGGAATTTCTACACCTTTGAAATTTCAGATTTCAAAAACTGACTTTGGTTTTTTTTACTATATGTACTATTACAGCTTTTTTTTTTGAGGAGTGTATAATTTGATAGGAGATTAAATGACTGTTACTTAACCAACTCGATAATGGCAGAGACATTTACTTGTTCACTGCTGCTCTGGGCCTCCTAGAGCAGGGGTTAGGCATGCAAATACCTCCGTCAAGATTGAGTGGTCTCTGACATCCTAAAAGCCATTTATTGAATGCTTGCTAAGTGCCTGGTGTCCTGCAAAGCACTTTGCAGACATGCATGGCCTCTTAGTGCTGATATCATCCCCTGGGAGGCTGGAGGTGTCTGCAGAAGCCCCGTCTATCTTAAAGGTCCCACGAGCTTTGGCCTCTATTCTGTTGTTCGACCTTGGTTGAGTAGAAGATTGGGATTATTGAGGGATGGAATGTCACAGGTGGAGAGGTATGTAGGCTTAGTGCCTGTAGAAAAATACCCATTTACCTTATTTCTTAAAAAAGCTGGGTGGTGGTGGATTTAATCCCAGCACTCAAGAGGCAGAGGCAGGCAGATCTCTGTGAGTTTGAGGCCAGTCTGGGCTACAGAGCAAGTTCCAGGAAAGGCGCAAAGCTACACAGAGAAACTCTGCCTCAGAAAAAAAAAAATTATGTATCTGAGTGTTTGCTTGTATATATCTACACTACATATTTGTGATGCCCATGGAAGCCAGAAGAGGGCACTGGATCCTCTGGAACTGTAGTTACAGATGGTTGTGAGCCACCATGTGGGTGCTGAGAACTGAACCCGGATCCTTTGGAAGAGCAGTCAGTGCTCTTAACTGCTGAGTATTTCTCTCTCTCTCTCTCTTTCCACACACACATATCCTTGCTTTTACTTTTAACCATTGTCTCTGGCCGAAAGTTCTCAAGACTATTGGATAAACCTCTTGGAGTGCATTGCTCACGTCAGCAGACATCCAGCGTCCGCAACCCTAGAGCTTAAAATGTTATAACTTCACATCTGAAACTATGGAAGAGATCTTCCTCCTCCATAGCTCACCTAGCTCGCGTCCCGATCAAAGTTCTCTCTCCCCTGTTGTGTTTTTGACTTTGTCTCTTCTCTGGCTAGAAAAGTTTACACTACTCTTTCTACGGCACAAACCAAATCGCCACTCACATTTGTCTCAGAATAAAGGACTTCTATTATTTTCTTTAAAGTCGAGTTGTTGTTTTGGCACTGAGGGGACTATTAATAACTTCATTACACAGGAAGCAATCCGAGAGAGGTCAAGCCTGCTGTCGGAGGTCTCAAGGTTGGCAGAGGCAGATGGGACGTTAGATGCTATAGAGAACCACACGGGGAGGAGAAGCTCGTGGAAAGGAAAGAAGTGAGTGGACACAAAGGAAAAGGAAAATCAGGGAAGGCTCTTGTCTGGGGATCAGGCACCGTTCTGACGGCCTCTATCCCAGGATTGCCAGACAGCAATGGAAAAGACACCGCGGGCTGCTGTGTGGGACCCTGAGTGCAAGGAGGACTCAGTGCCTTCTTGTCGAACTCACAAGACCCCATTTCTCCTCCATGTTTCCCTTTTCCAGAACCTGCCATCAGAAATCCCATTCTCTCCTTGATCTCAGCCGAGTGCCAAGAAGAAAACAACCTGATTAGCTGATTGAAGTGATTCCCACTAAGATGCCATCACTTAACTTTTCTGGGAGCTCACTCATTAAAATAAGTCTGTAACTGATAGGACACACACACACACACACACACACACACACACACACACACACACACTATATATATATATATATATATATATATATATATATATATCATATGTGACTGTTTATACTACAGTCTTCCACACTGTATAAATAACAGTAAAGGATGAAAATCAGAAGTGCTAATACTATGATAAGTAACCAGCTCACATCATTTCAGAACAACTCAGTCAGGCAACTATGATACTCTGCAGGGAAATGGAGACTTGGGGTAGGGGGTGGGGTTGGCGGTTATTTACTTAAGAACAGCCAGCTATGGAAAAGAGCTAGATTTTTTTTTTCTTTCTTTTTTCTTTTTTTTGGTTTTTCGAGACAGGGTTTCTCTGTGTAGCTTTGCCCCTTTCCTGGAACTCACTTGGTAGCCCAGGCTGGCCTCGAACTCGCAGAGATCCGCCTGCCTCTGCCTCCTGAGTGCTGGGATTAAAGGCGTGCGCCACCACCGCCCGGCTAGAGCTAGATTTTTAACCTCTTCTGTCAACTGTGACTACTCCTGTCCTCAAAGACTCCCACCTTGGCACAGCATTTCCCAGGAGCACACAGTTCAATTCCACCCTACTAGCATTAGAGGGAGGAGTTTTGACCTTGGTCTATCTGTTGACCCAGAAAGTCACTGTTTCATCAACGGCTCACATGCTTGATACGTGGCATGAATGGGTGTGTTGAAATGGATTTAACCTGGTTTTGTTCCCAGGGTCTCTGAAGACAGTGCCTGTGTGAGTTGGGAGGAGAGTAATGTGTGAATGGGTGTGGAAGAACTGAGCACCTGAACCAGAGAGCCTAAGAAAATAACTGATGAAATGTGGCAAGTGCTGACGGAGAGATAAACACAGAGTGCTGAGAGGTCATAAAAGGCGAAGTAATTTTTGAAATTAAAGCAGAATTTTAAAAAATCTGATTGATTT